AGAGTAATATTAATTAGGTGCATCTCTACAGAAGATATTGGTTTTATTAAAAATAAACATTATTGGAACAGTTTTAACTTTTATTGTCATCATAAAAAAAGTTCTCTCATGAAAACTGTTTGGAACTTCAAGCTTGACTGAACTTGAAAAATGCAGAGCAAATTTTTGCCAGATTTCATCTGAATCCTTCTCTGGCATATAAAACTTGGATGAGGTTTTGATACTTCTGGAGCAGATTGAGAAAATAGGTCCAAGCTTCAGATGTGTGAGAAAACCCTCTTGTGTTCTTTTTCAAGGATGTTCTTTCCTAATCTTTCACTGACTTTATATGACCTTCAACAACACAAATCACTTCAAAATCTTGTATCCTGAATTTTTCCTAAATATAGGAATTATGTACTACATTAGCAGGGATGTTATGGCTTTAATTTATTTATTTTATTTTTGGAAGCTTATTTTTAAAACAAAGTAGTAAATGACCGTTAGAACTTTACAACTGTGACAATTTCACCATGAGAAATTGAGGTAGAACTGTATCTCTTCAGATATTCTTTCCCATTTTAAAGTCAGTTTACATGAACCAAGCTTATGCCCCCTTAATATTCTTCATATAAACCCACCACAATTCTCTAAGTGCTCATTTTGCTCACAAACCTATTCAGTTTGTGTGAATAGGTTTAGCTGGCTGGACTGTTTGTGGAAACTGCATTTAACATTCATGCAAGATGAGCACTCACTTCTGGCACTGTTATCACAGACAGCCAATCAGAGATTGGTAGCAATTTTGTGCAAATTAATTGACCAGTCACATCTAACAGTTTAAATAGCAAATACAACATGGGACAGATTTTGACATGTTTGAATAGTTCTTTTGTTCATTACACTTAGGCTCCCACAGAAAGCCAGTACTCAGGGTGAGCAAGACTACTGACTGATGGCTAATCTGCATTTGTTATAAAACGAGAATTTCATCACCAAGGTGTAAAAATTAAGGAATAATAATTAATTGGATAATTTAAAGTAGATATCTAATAAAAACATTAGTAATGGTAAGAAGTCTCTCATGAGCAGGAAAAATTAGATCATTGCAGAATGATTCACTGTGGATTATTCACACAGCTGTAGAAATTATTCAGACTGACAGATTGATGTGTAGAACATGCCCATAAAGACAGGATATTTCCCACTCTTTGTTATCATTTCTTTGCTACACATTCTGCAGCTTTGACTGTGATTCTACAAGTTCATGCAAAGCAAGGAAAGCTACCAAACAGGATGGTCTCTGATTTTACTACCAGCACAAAATTAAAGGATAGAACCCAACAGGAGCAATTGGATGAAGAAAGAAATGGAAATTACATTCTTAATTAACAATGGAGTTATCAACTAAAATGCATATTATGCCGCTTTGGGCTTAAATTTATAAGAGAGGTGCAGAAAAGGTTGGAGTTAGCTGACTGATTTTGAATTTAGTCAAGTAGAATTCTTTTTAGTAATAAACAAACTAGCAGTCATAGGAAAAGAGTAACTTTTTTTTTTTCTTTGCAATCCAAAGCAAACTTCCAGTTGTTAAATTATTGTGATGAAATACGTTGTGAAACTTCACTGACAAGGGCATAATTTTCTGAAATAATATGTTTTTAAACTGATATCTTCCTGTTTCTTCAAGTAACAATAATATTTATGTAGTTTTGAATAGATTTTTCCTGTTGAAGTTACAATAATATTGAACTTGATCAAGTTTAACCTGATGAATTTATGAATTCATGCTTTTAATTTCTATCATGAAGAACTTTAGCTAAAGGTAGCTTATATATTGGCAATTTAACAGCTTAGTAACTGTAAAAAATTTACAATAAATGGAACTTAGTCTTCGAAAAGATAGAAAATAAGTCTGTCATCTTATTTGAATATGGAGCTGCTATTTTAAATACCACAGCTGGTACACTTTGATTAAACAATGCCTATTAAATGGATTACTTTAAATGGAAATTTTGTAGTGCTTGAATTTGGATAGGAGAAACTAAATTTGTAGACACATCTGCACTATTTCAGCTGCACAGTGCAATGAAGTTTTCATCAAAGAAATGTCATAAAATGTTTGACCCTTTGGATTTTATTTGTACTAGTCTGAAGCCATCCCAGAAAGATTATCTATTAAACATTAAATAAGAAAATATTTTGCCTTTATTTTTTATTTGCTATTGGTGTTCTATTTACCTTTTACTGAAATATTAAAAAAAAAAAAAAAGAAAAATGTCTAGTCTCATTCATCAAAAATCTCTTATGGTATGTTCTGAACCCTGCTCTAGCCTTTGGGATTGATTATTGACTAGGATGATTCTGCTTATATAGACCTCCTAAAAAGTGTTCTTTTACAGTTAAAAATGCAAGAATGAACCCTACATAAAGTATCTTGTTGTTTCTTACCACCAATCTAAGAATCTTTGGGCCTTGAAGTATAGTTTGTTTAGCAGATAATCAAAAGCATAAATGTCAGATGATACTTTTCTCTGAGAAATATAGGAGGCCAGCAACACTTCATATACAATTTAAGTGCTCAGCTCTAACAGTTATTTACAAATCTTGTTTAATTGTTCAGGAGTCTTGAGATGCATAGATATTTTGTTCATAAAGTTGCCATCCCTGCACAGTCAAATCCAGCAAGCATTTACACATATGGTAAGTTCATTCAAAAATTGCTGTCTATAAGTAGGCCAAGATCTCTTTGATAATGCAATTGCAACAGCAGAGGTTATATGGGAAGTACAAAACTTGGGTTGCCTTCTCACAATTAAAAAGCTGAACATGTTTTCCACTTCAGTCACTGCATTTTCTTCCAGAGCAGTTTTCAAAAGTGTTTTCTGAACACGCTTCCCAATTCCCTTGTCAAGCTAGCTCATTTCATGGCAAGGAATACAGCATGCACAGGGCCAGAAGAAAAAAAAAGAAAAGAAGGGAAAAAATTACCTTGACTTTATATTAGAATGAAAAGGGACTGCTTCTTGATTTTTCAGTACAATGATATCCATAAACATGACTTTGCATCAGAATGAGAATCCAGAGTAGTTTTCTCTATGGATTCTTTCAAGAATATAATTTGAATTCCCTGGAAAATTCAGTGGTAAATGAGGTTAAAACTTTGAAGTCTTTTGGAAAATGAATACTTAGTCCTGAGAAAAAGAGGAATTCACTTCCCTTGCAGTGCTTAGGAAAGCAGCACACACACTGAATAATGTAACAGGCGGAGTGGGTGGGTGTGCATGTGCAGGCAGAACATCTCACTGCCACTGTTGCTTCACAATGAAAATTCATTCCCAGACATGTCTTTTCCACACAATCATTTTAACACATTCTTCCTAACCTGAACATGTTGGGCACAAAGGAGCTTCATGCATCATGCTGTTTATCCTTGACCTTTCCTTTTGAGTTCAGGGAGGTACACATCTTCTATTTTATCTTGGAAAATTCTAATTAAAAGAGAAGGGAGAGATTTAAACGTGTGAAATTTTAATAGACTTCCCCAGTGTAGCAATTGTACATTATGTCATCTTGGATAAATTTTGACTGAATTAGCTTTTGCAGAATGCCCACCAGACCTGCTTTCACAGGCTGTTTTGCCATCTGCACTATTAAAACATCCCCATTAGCTATGCCTAGGGTTTAATCTTTTGCAACTGATTACAAATTGTCCATAATTCACAGCCCAAAATAGAATCACAGGAATTAATTTTTAAACGTTAGACTTGCAAATTCATTATACCAGAAACAAAAGGATATATCTAGTTATATTATTTTTAACCTGGAAAGGATGAAGATTATGTTTGTCACAGATGTTGATAATAAAGATCAGATACTAATAAAGTATTTGTCAAAGTCCAATTATCAGACCTATGGATGTTAGGGAAGTTTTAGTATGTTAATATTGCAAGTCTGACAGAAGTTCTAGTATTTCTCTTGAAGTCTGGTTGGAAGAATCCCACTGTATGTGAGTCACTGCCCTCTCACTGTGGTAAAGCGATAACATACTCAAAAAGTAAACAAGGATTGACAGAAATTATGCTCTGTAAACCAAATATCTGTTCTTTTAGACATCTTGAAGGGAGAAGGGTTTTTTCTTTTCCTGTGACTCCCTTAACGATGGTCATCCTCATTTTTGTCTTTTAGGAAGGAAAAAAAAGGTAAGGGAGAGTATAGAAGGTACTGCCTGAAAGCTGGAGCTTTAAATCTTGCTCTATGACTGTCATCTCCCTGTTCAGACAAGATGTGCATGCAGCCCTGCACTCTAGTTCCTCCTCAGTAGTCATTGCCTAGTTTATCTATGGTTCCTGTATCAAAGAAGATAGAGGGTGATAAATGGTCATCTAGAGCTGACTCATGGTCAGCTTTGAAGCAGTTAGATGTAAGTAAAGTCAATAGGTTTCTAGAATGCATGTTTGCTTTTCTACCACTAATGATGTACTTCTGGTTTGGAAGCCTCTTTTACAATGACCAAAAATAAGGTGGGGATTCTGCTTAGAATCTGTGTTCCTAAAACCAGAATTTTGAGTCTTCTTGAATACCTATTTAGAAGTAAGTAATATGGATGGGGAAGGCAAAAAAGTAAAAGTAAGGAGTAATTAAGGCATTTTTAAATATCAGAGCTGTGTAAAACCACAAAGGGTATTGTTAAGTCCTGGTTGAATTTGTATTCCCATGATTTCCAGACTTTGTGACAAAATGGAGACTGAAACCTTATGAACATCCTCTCCTTTGACCTCCTAGTCCTATCAAACTTGAGGTTTTCTCTGCACAGTAATTTACATCATGAGAGTGCACTAAGCCACAGCTGCTGGGAGCCCTAACCACTCTGAAAGGAAATGGTCATTTTTTGTCATGGTTTGACAACAGGCTTTCAGAACTATAATGCTTCACTGTAATTCAAACATTCAATATAATGCCTACAAATTATGATTTTTGGATGCAGAATATATTTTGAAAATTACTGATTCCATTTCCAGCATGCTGAAGAAAATGGAGGAAATGGCATTTTCTGATGACAGCTCTAGTACCTACCCTGTGGAGCTGTATGAGGTAAGCAGCTCATATGTTTTCTGCCTTTTAATCCCCTCTGTGTCCATCCTCATACCTGAAAATATATCAAAAGCTGAATATTTGAACATTTATTTTCTTAGGAAAAAAATACAGGGAAAACACTGGGGTTTTTTTGTTTTGTTTTGTTTTGGTTTTTTTTTTAAGGTGAAAAATCTGATACTTAAGCTATTCTTGAAAGAGCAAAGAGAAAACAGATCCCTCTCAACACTGAAACAGCACCATTGCAGTCATCTGAAGAAGCCATCCACATTTCTTGGTGTGTCACTATTCCCTGGGAAATTTGACTGCCACAGTGAGCAGGGCTTAGAGTCTTGTGGTTCAGAAATCCAGACTACATTTCCTTTCATGACTGCTGGCCTAGGAGCAGCCATGAGGAATGATTTGGAGATAGGTCAGTATGCCCTCATCCAACCCTCTGATGCTGTCACCAGTCTCTAGCAGATGAGTGATGCATCGATCAGCGTGTGCCTTCTTACCTTGTGCATGCAAAGACATTGGGGTGGCACACTTCCTTTTTCTCTTGCACTTTGCACACCACATCTATCAAGAAAAAATGTAGATTAGGCAGCTCAAAGGTAAGAGAAGCTGTCTCAGCAACAGGGGAATGACTCACCAAGGAAATGACACAGGGAGAATTAAAAGTTTATCTCTTCAGAAGGATACAAGACATGTAACCATTCAGAAGCACTAGGTGTGGCAGCTTCTCTCTCTCTCTCTCTCTCTCTCTCTCTCTCATCCTGTATCCAGTCAAAACAGCAGCTCATGGCAAAGGTCCCAAATAATGTAATGCATTTAAAAAGTCCAAATGAGCATCTGTATCATGTGACTGCCTATCCTTCAACATAGGATGAATACCAAGTCTCAATATCAGGCAGGGATTTTGCTCAATATTAAACTTGAAATAACTGTACTGTAGGACTTGCAATTACTTGAATGGGTAGAGAAAGGATCCAGCTCAGGCTAGTGCAAGGCGGAGTATTTTTTTTCAGAAATGCCTATTAGGTCTGATTTATTCACATTACATTTTTGTCCACAAGGTGGAAAGATCATATGTATTCCAAGACACATCAGCAGCTAGAGCACAGGGGAAAGTGGATTCTGGAGTTTAGGGTAAGGCCAGTCTGCGTGCAATGCTTGGGATAACTGCTGATCTCTTTAGACTCTCTTATATCAGTTCTTTCTGAGTCTCTCAGGAGATGTTGCTTGTACTAGAACTAATATTTCAAGCATCAAGAGAGAAAAGCTGAAAAGAAGCAGAGGAAACCAGACAAGTGCATGCCACAACATGCTGAGTCACAGTTTAAAAATTCCATGATGGCCCTAGTAAATTCAGAACCACCAGCAGTAGGGGTTTTCCATGGATTCTCTGAAGAGAAGGGAAATAGAATCTTCTTTTGCGGCTATTGCCTGGGCATGCCTCAGAGCTGGGCCTTTCACAGGGTTGCTGAAAGTCATTTAATCCTTGTTTCCACCTGCTCCAGCACATCACATTTTGCAGCTCAGCGAGGCTCTATCTTTAGCCTCTCAGCAGTGGGACACTTTAGGCAGAAGAGGATTAAGCAGGCACACACAGATTTAAGTGCAGCCTGCAACTAGTCACAAATGTATTATCTACATAAACTGTCATTACTGGCACGAATATAAAACATAATTGTTGCATTGCACTATTTCTGATTAATTGATTTAAAGCATGAAGGAAGAGTGTGTCTACCTAAATAATAGTCATATTCATTGCAATAAAACTTCATTACACCATGTCTGTATAATTTAGCATTTTCTTAACCAAGGGGAACTGATCTTTATAAAGAAACCTGAGGGAAAACATGGCTGAAGAAAATGTGTCACACCAAACATTATTATTACCAAACAATGTCAAAGGGACATAAGCCTGACAAATCTAGTTGGCTAAATCAAAGTGTGGGCATTTAGTACTGATGTGGGTGTTGCTTATACAGATTTTACAGTATTAAATAATTTATCCCTAAAATCATAGTGTTTTATTTCATCAAATATTGTTGAACAATTTCTTTAACTTAGAAACAAGAATGACAGCAGGAACATAATTTACTCCCTTTTTTTTAGCTTAAAAACCTGAAGTGGTGTAAGGATTTAGAAATTATTTGCATGGATCCTCAAAAGCAGGTGGTTGTAATTTGAAAGACTTATTACTGTAACTAATCATATGCAAGCATCTTTGTTTTTGTAAAGATGAAGTTTCTCATATGTAATAGTCTCCTCCTTGGAAATGTTCTTCTTCTTTGGAAACTGAGCTATGTCCTCGCTCTGAACTTGGGTTTGGCAGAGTATTTCCCTGTACCTGGGATCTCTGCCAGAAAAATGTGAAGACATGGGGTGGGACAAGGGAAAGAATGGGCTAGCTTGAGGGAGAGGTTAGCAGCCTGTGGTCAAGGGTTACAGAAACTCAAAATATGAAATCTTCACTGAACCTGAGTTGAGAAAAATGAAGAATATTTGCAGGACAATTCTTCCAATCCATGAGTGTTCAGATGGAGATGAACTGAGCTGGACTCCTAATTTCTGCACAAAGGAGGACTCCACTGACTGTAGAGTCTTACATGTTTACAATGGTAGAAATTAAATTTTAATTTGGACTTATTGTTTCTTCTTTTTTTCTTCACACTTTCAGGGTGAAAATTAATTATTGTTTGGGTTGGCAGTTTTGAGATTAGATATTTTAGATAAGTTCAAGATTAATTTTTTTCTTTGTAAAGTTAAAATAAAATCCATGCAAACCAGACTGATTTTAAACAAGTGCTCTGTAAGAAGGAGGCAGCTTTTCCACATCTGAAGACAGATAACTTTAAAACAATATATGCACATCTATTTAAAAATTATAATTTATTAATATGAAGAGTGATAACTGGTTTTTAGGCAGTTATGACAAAAGGCAATTATATTTAACAATCAGAAAAGAGACAGAAATGAGGAAAACTACACAAAATTATTGTATAATTTTTTGTCCCTTCAAATAACTAACCTTTTGAGCAATAGGACTTCAACTTTTCTAACTTGCATTTGGTCCTCTTATGTTGGTAAATAACAAAACCTTTCATCCTCTGCTTATATTCATAATATATTAAAAAATATTATTGTAGCAGAGGCAAATTGTTAAATTGTGAACTGTAAGTTGTCCAAGAGAAACCACTTGGTTGGCTAAAATGCCTTTCTGCTTGTAAATCTAAAAAATTTTAAGGTAGCTGATTTGCTGTCCCAAATAAGTGCTCAGATCTGCACTCACTTGGAATTTGATTGTGCAGCTATCACTGTGGTGGATGGACTTAAGCTATGTAATTATATATTCACTTGTCCCCTGGCTACACATAAATGATCATGACACTTAGGAGAAGGATTTTAACTGAAATAAATCTTGCCTGTGGAGCAAGCAAGAATTGTATGCAGACATCACATTACCACATCATCTTTGCCTAGAGGAGTGGTGAGTGCAGGAAAATAGGGTGTGACTCCAACTGTTTGGCTTCTACATTCAAATGATGTTGCCCAGCCCTCATGATTCACTATGTGCGTGGTTCAGGCTTAATGTAACTTGAATTGTTGCTTGAAGCAGTGTGTTTTGTGTAGTAAGAGCTTCAGGGCAAGTACTGCAGAGTAAACTCTATCTAGAGCTGTCCTATCCCCTTGCACTGTTCAACTGTATCCACACCCTCTGCTGGAAGACTTGTCAGAATTGATTTATTAGTTGCTGCAATTGCTGGTGTGACAAAACAGCTCCTTCTACTCTACAGTGCAAATTTTGTTCCTCTGTAACAGGCAGTCACTATTTAGGGAAGTTCAGGGGGCTCTGGAGGTCTGGAAATGTGCTTAACAAGACATGGTTTTATCAGTCTGCATAAAGTTTCCTCATGTCACGTGTACTGCCAGTATAGATTCAGTCTCTTGAAAGCTATATATCTGTGTTGTTGGCATAGTGATAATTTTCTTAATATATGATGACCTTGGTTAAGTCACAGATGTAGTGGATGACTCACAGAGTACTAACATTCTTCACATCCCTATAAAGACTTATTTTTCTAATGCTAAGACTTCCACCTAGTTCCTCATCAGTGTCTTTGTATGAGTTTCACAACTGAGCTAAAGCAGGAAACCTGTGTTGATGGGTATGAATTTCATAATTTCCCTGACATACCTCTGAGTATGAAGAGAGTGTGAGAGAGTCAATCTTTATTAATGGAAATGAGGACTCTTCTTTCTAGCTGTTTATGCTTCTTCCTTCTTCCTCTGATATATGTTGTTATTGATTTGAAAAGCAAAACCCAAATTCTCCTTTCAGATCCATCCATCAATCCTGCCCTCAAAAATGATTTTACTACATCAATTATCAAACAATAAAATGTACATCCTATACATTGATCATATTTATGAAATCTTCATAGGGAAGATATTGATGCTTTATACAGCAGAGAAAATGAACTTGGCTACCCATTAAAATCTTTCTCAAATTAAAACTTCTAAAATTGTGTGGAAAAATTAATTATGAAAATAGCAGCTATTGCCTACAATTAGACTGTAGAATAGTCTTCCAAACTGAATGTCCCCCACTAAATAAAAATAAAGAGCTATGGGCAGACAGCTTTGGATTAATTATTTGGTCATAATTCTTGAAACCTCAGAAGAAAGCAGAATAATTTATACATCAACCTCTATCCTGCTGGGAGCAAATGTTAAAGAGCTAGATTAGGACTTTGAAGCATGTTCTTGGGTATGTGCTTTTGAAAATTTTTTCTACTCAAGGAAGAACATCTAAAAAACTGATGAAATATAAATAATTTTTTTATTTGTTTGTTTATTTGAATATAGGATCTTTTCATACATTTGCTGTCTTGAAACTGCTCATAAAAATAATAAGGTCACTGAGAGAAGACTATAAGCAAGGAAATATTATCAAAATGTTATCATTTGACAGGTCAAAGCAAGCAGGTGAAGACCTCTGGGTTTGTGGC